CTGCCGGCCGGAGGGGTGAAGAACAGCAGGGAGAAACCAGCCCAGCTGCCCTACACCCAGATGAATTATCCAGTGTACTCCAAAGGCCAGGCCACCCAGGGACAGGAGTCTGCATGGCTGGAGGTGTTGCCTTCCACCTAAAGCTGGGGCAATCGGGGCATAGCTCCATGTGGGACAGTCATGGGCCAATGACTCAGGAATCACCTGGGGAAGATGCTGTAGAACACACATGGTGGGTGGGTACATGCTGTCTCTGAGACACATGTAAATAAAAGTGATGGAGAAGCTGATCTGAGGAGCAGCAACAGATCTGCTGTCAAACAGGCTTCATGTAAGTTATTTGCTGTGTTCTGTACACAAACACTGGCCACTTCTGGGGTTTGGGAAGGAATTTAAAGGGTTTATGCTTCCTACAAGCTTCTCCAGGTGCTTTAAATGCTCGTTTTAATAAGAAACAGCCCTGACAGTCATTTTGGTTGGCAACTATTAACAGCTTATAAAGCAGCCCCAGGGCTTTAGTCAGGGTAATGTGCTCTGAAATCCCCGGTAAGGCTGAGGTCTGTGCTGCAAACCTGCGGGAAGCAGAGGAGCGTGGCTGAGTGTCACATCATCTACCCGCCTCCTTTTAAAAACCCTCGGAAAATCTTAATTGCTTAATACCGGGGGGTTTGCAGTTTCTTCTTGGGTTCAAATTCCAGACGCCGAGTAACCCCTGGTGCCAGCAAGCGTACTCGCACTTCGCATCTGCTGCGCTCCTCCTGTCTGTTTAATATTCACCCCAAGGCTGTGACGTGCGGGTGGAAGGTCCAAGACGCGCGGCGGGGGCATCCTGCCTTAATGCACCTGGAAACTTTGGCACCGGGCGAGCAGCTGAGGAGAGAAAAAAAACATCACAGACCTGCAACTCCCAGGCAATTGTGAGAGAGGCTCCATATGCTCCGGTGCCCGCCAAAAGAGCCGAGGCTGGCATTGCATCAAAATTATTTCTTCCCCCTCCATCTAAACTGTGGAACTACATGACCATGAGCTCTGCTTTTCCCCTATGAAGCCCACCTGACAGGTGACCTGTGGGGTGGGATATAAGGCTGTTAGCAGATCTAGAAGGGGGTTGCAAGGTGATCACTTCAATTTTCGCCATGGTCTATGTGCCACAGGTTGGTTTTTTGGGTTGGAAACAGCCCTGTTTGGCCCAGCCCAGGGAGATGTTGCAGAGAGAGCGCCCTCACCGATGTGTGAATGGCTTCCTGATGTCCAGAGCTCCAACGCAGCGTCACAGGAGAGCAGTAGAAAGACGGGACACATGATGGACCTCAGCAAAATAAGCCAGATTAGGCATGGTTTAAGCTTTGAGACTGCCCAACCAGGTGTCTTGTGAAGAGCCAGGTGATTCAAATATTGAATCATGGTAGCTCGGGCAAGAGGAAGTGGACCTTGGGATTTTGTGGCATCTCAGCAGCCAGTTTGGCACCTTGAACTCAGAGATAAGGGGTTTTTCCTGGCAAGTGAAGATGCTAATTTTGAAAGATTGGCCTCCTCTGTACCAGCAGGTGGTGGGAGCTGTGTGTAACCATGATTTGGTGACGGAAAGGCACCAGGAAGAAGCACTGACCTCAGGTTGCAGCCCTGAACCGATGAAAAATGCAACATTTCAGGCCAGTGCTTGAACAAACTTGGGGACCTGGCCAGCAGCAGGTAGTTTTGGGTGACAGAAGGATTTCCACCCTCTGCAGCTACCTGGGGGCAGGGGATTGAACTGGGCAGGGTGGATGCCTAAGCCATGCAGAAAATACGTCCTCTCCCACAGAGGCAGTCAGGGCTCTGGGAATTTTTTTTTCCCCTGCAATTAGGGCTGCAGTAGGTTGGGGAAAGAAATTTTTTCCCCTCCTTTTTGCGTTCCTGCAGTGCTGACCAGACCCACGGCAGGGGCAGCCTGGCCAGGTTTGCTCTCACCAGAAGTACAGAAGGTGCCGAGAAATAGGATTAGAGCCTCATTTGTCTGAAAGGGCACCAGCAGAAACCCGAGGTGAGGGTATAGCTCCTGTTCTCTCTCTCCCCATGCCAGTCGCTGCCAGAGGGGCAGTGCCATGGACCAGCCCTGCTTGGTCCCCTCCAGTGAGCAGGCAGCCGGGGTCTGGTGTTGCCGAAGCTGCTGTTCCCACCACTGAAACTCTTAGTTAGGCAGAGGACCAGCCGCGATGCCCCAGGGGATCCAGAGAAAGGGCCCATCTGTCTGGCTTTTTTAGGATGATCAGGGAAAGCGTTTGACTTGGCCAGCATGGGAAATTACACGGCCGAGAGAATGGCAGTGCTGAGGCTGACTGCAGACAGTGAAAAGGCAATGGACTGAAATCGTAGCCTCCCCTCCAGTCACCAGAATAAAATCCATAGCCGGACACAGCCTGTGCCCAGGTAAGAATTAAGCCTGCTTGTCCCCAAAATGCTGAACAGTCCCGTATATTCAGCCCCTGATGCACCCTGACACTGCAGCATGGATCCCATCCCGCTGCTCCTGGTGCTTGCCTTTCCCTCACGCTGGGCTAAAATCTCCCCAGCCTGTTTGCATCCTCATTTCTCTGCACAGGCGACTTCTTTTTCTGTATTTACACCTTTTTCCAAGCCATGAGTCATTAGCAAATATGGGACAGTTTGAATCTCATATTGATTTCTTCTTCACTTTTTCACGGAAGTGTTGAGTGTTGTCAAGTCAGATTCATTATTGAGGAGTGAATACTTTATATCACCATCAGCAACAAACCATGTGCTGCAATCAAAGAAAGACATCAATGTGATTCATTTTAATTATATTTATTTCCTGTAATTTTTTATTCATTGAGTCCTTTATCAGCTGTTCCACATTTTTGCCAAGGATCAATTTCAAGCTGTAAATCAGTGACAGCATTAGCCTTATAAATACTTGGCTCTCCCTATTTGCCCTTTTAAAATACTGGCACAACTTCAGCTCTCTTCCAGTCTCCTGCAACTTCCTCAGCACTTCAGTACTACTGAAAATAATGTTGATTTAAACAGCTCTTTGGCCACCTCTTAAATTCGATGAATATGCTGGCAGTTTCATGATGTTCAGCCAGGGTGTATCGCGGTGGGGATGCGGATTTTGCCACAGATGTTTTACCCCACTGTTCCCACATGGAGCATTCATGATGTCCAGATCATGTTCACCATGACTTTGCTGGTGTCCCAGTTTGCTGCCGTCCCAATGCAGGTAAAATAAGGGATCCAAGAATAAAACGGTGACGAGCCCCTCTCAAACAAACCAGCTCAAATCACTACACTGCAAAAATCACCTTGATGCTTTGTCAGTCGTACCTCGCTGCAGCAACTGCTGGAACTAATCATCATTAATTACCTTGGTCAGGTGAAACTTCCTTAATTGCCTGCAACTTTACTTCCAGGAAGCTCCCGGTTTAGGCTGCTGCTGCCAGTTTAAAGGCCACGTCTCTCAGTGGTGATTTTTAGGAAAAATCCAGGCAAATTAACAGGAGGGTGAAGTCATGCGTGTCCCACCTCTGGCTGTGCGGGATCTGTATGTGTCCTGGAGTCACCTGCCTGACCTGCCCGCCTGGAGAAGAAAGGTCAGTGGGGTGGGGGTGGAAGGTGGTCAGCCAACCTGTCATGTAATCCGAGGGCATTCTTTTGTGACCTTTTCCTCTCCCTAAAAAAACAAAGGAGACAGGGCAGCAGGCTGCCTGGAGAGCTGCTGCTCCTTGAACCTTGACAATATGCGCTCAGCGTTGCGAGGAGACGTTGGGCAGACAGTGCTCAGCCTGCCCCGGCGATCAGGCTCCCATACAGATGTTCATTGAGCTGTCAGAGCATCGGGAGGAAAATAAATTAATTGTAAGTGGAAGAAGGTTAGTTAAATCCTTTCTGGAAGTATTATATAGCCATTAAACTGCACAGGAAACTCAATAATAACGGGTAATAATGTTCTTCTGAGGAATTAAATAGAAGCCCAATTTATAATGCTGCTCGGCATTCAAGCCAGAGTGTTCCACCTTCCTGGTACATGATAAACATTTACTAATTAATCCTCACAAAGCCTCAGTGAGGCAGATCTCTTCACGCCACTGACTCTGTTTTATAAACGGGAACAAGAAGGTACAAGATACATCCTTTGAAGCTGGGGCTGTGTATGTTTTCAAACATGATTTGGGTCTCTGGGACCTCACTCGGCATCTGTGTTTGAATACTGAGAGGTTTGTAAAAAGCCTTGGAGCCAGGAGCAGAAGTCAAGGTTTCTTTGTGCCCCTTCACTGTGCTCAGCCCATCATGGCATGTTTTGGTAGGATTCTTCAGCACTCTCTCCAGAATACTGATGTTTTTCCTGCATGATCATATTGCATTGCAGGAATGGTATTCAGACAAAAAGGCAACGGTCTTAGGTCTCAAGTAAGAGCAGTAGGAATTGGTTCATAACATAACTGCTAATTATGTCAAGATTCAAAGGAACAAAACTTATGACCGAGTGGAAGCTGCTATTTGCAGAAGATCAATATAGGTTGTATGGGATGTGGGCTGTCAAATGTGGATATTATTTCCATCAGAATGGTGGACTCTCCGTGACCATATACAAATTAGATTTTGGTGTCATTTTAAGATTCTCCCCCATGCCTTTGTCACTGCTTAAGGCATAGCATGAATAAACACAGAATATAATGAAAGGGAGCTTCATCCCAGCACTGAGCTGCGGCAAAAGTAGGGATTCTTCCCATTGATTTAGTTTAATTTTTGTCTGCTTACACCAGATGCTAATTTGAGTTTGCAGTTGACTCCATGACCTGTGGAAGGATCTCACATAACACAGATAGAGAATCTGCAATACTCATCAAAAGAGCAAATAAAAATGGGGATGAACACAGCCTGGCCTGAAATAGAGTTGTGTAGACATGGTGTTAGGTGTTAAAACGGTGGACTAAAGTCCAGCTTCATGGTCAATCCATGCTTTAGCGTTTGAAGTGTTGCCATGGTGGCCTAACAAGTAGTCTCCTACTTTCAGGCACTACTGAGCTTAGCTGAAGGTCCGGCTTGGGCAAGGAAGCATATTTTCCAACTCATTTTTGGCTAAACAACGTTTGACACAACAAAAGTAGTAAATTCCCAAAAGAACAAGTCTGCATTGGTGATGGGCTGTCCAGAGAAAGCAAAGCAACCTTTATGTCCTCAGTAAAAAAAGCAACTCAAGAGTTTATTACAATTTTTGATATGTCAGAGATGTCACCAATACTTTTAAATACATAGCAAAGAAAGAAAATGTTCTTTACTAGCTGTAGAGAGATTGGTCCAGGGTTAGCACAGATCAGAGACTCTTTCAGGGGAGTTAGAAGATTGCTCCCATCCCACCCATCTTCTCCTTGAATTAATTAACATTAAAATTATGCTTTTACAAGACAAGACATGCTGAATAAAATTCTGATTTGCTTGAAGTCTCTGAGAATTTGCCCATTGTTTTCAATAAAGGCAGGTTTTTACCTAATATTTCTAAGAGGCTTTTATAGAATAGTGTTGAAAAAGACCTCAAGGACCATCCTATTTCTCCTCTTGCCACAAGGCAGCATCAGCTACATCTATGTCAGTCCTGATGGACATTTGTGTAACTGGTCCTGAAAGAGCTGCAACACTTGATAGCACTTTGAGCTCTGCTTCCATTTTCACCTGTCCCAAGATAGGAAAAGAAAAAGGACTTTTTAACCAACTCTACTGGGATTTTTGACTGGTTTAAAGGACCAGTGACAATTTTAACATCTGATGTCTCATGATCTGCTAAGGATAAGAACTAATCCTATCCACCCCGGGGAAGCTTTCCCATGATTTATTGACATTTTTCTCTTTTATCTCTTCTTGAGATATCTGACACGAAATCACGTCACCCCAATTCCCATCTTGTCTTTTCCTCCACCGTTTCAGTTCTGGTCTGATTTCAGTGGCTGCCCTATAAGAACCGATAGTTAAAACTAATGCTTTCCTTTATCTGAAGGCCTGTCAGTCTTCCAGTGGTGCAGCATCGAGCATATAATTTTAATTTGAGGAGTGAAATGCCAACTACTATAATTATGTTGGCAACATGGAAAGGCAGGGAGGCAGCAGGGCAATAATGACCAGGCAGGACTGGAGCCTTAGGGGGAAAGGAGAGATGGAAGGGTGGGCAAAAGAATAAATATTTAAGTCTGGTCCTCGCAGCAGAGCACCCCTATGGTTTGGTTATGCTTCTAGAATGAAACATCACTGATCATTAACTGCCATTTGCCTGCAATCCAGTGCCCACAGAAATGAAGTGAGGTCTTTGCTTTGGTTTCCAGAAGACCCGAATCACACTCAGAAATAGTAAAACACAGCTCCTCGTTGACAGGCAATTTGAAACACACTCTTCGCATCCCCTGCAATTACAGGAAACCTGCCCCACAGCTGCTCAAAATACATGTATGGTTTGGGATGGGAAGCACAGACACAAAGGGTAACATTTACAGCTGGTGCTTCTGAAGGTGAAGGTCTGAGGCAGATGCTCACACGGAGCAGTCAGAGAACGAGAGGTGGAGTTCCCACGCATTCTCTCTCATTCCAGGGTACACCATGCAGGAAGCTTTCACAAGAAATATTTTTTTAAAAAACCGGCTACACAGAATCCAAAAGCAAATAGCACAATTCGTTGTTGATACAATATGAGAGACAAGGCTTTCTACGTGGAGTCTGCTTTTAACCCTTACTGAGGATTTCATTCCCCAAATACAAACACTTAATCTCTACCGTGGACAGACAAGACAAACGACCTTTTCAACCAAGCCATAAAATATCTAGTTTCATACATAATCACAAAACCTCCAGATGTTTAAGGGTCCCAGCTTTGCACGTGGGACAAAGTTGAATAATGCTGTGAGATAGACTAGCAGTGGATGAACCAGAGTTTCAAATCAGACTCTGCCAGGAGGCTCCTCTGCACCACTACTATCACCAAACAACGCCACGAGGAAGGTGGGTGGAAAGCCGTGGGGCACTGGAGGAAGAACGTGGTGCTGCTGGCCAGAGAAACCCTTAAATGCTGCTTGCAGGGGAAATAGCAACTGCCTTAGAGGCTGGGATGGAGAGTCTGTGTAGGAACCGGGACCGCTGCTGGGACATACAGCCCCTGGGGACACGTCTTTAGCATCACCTCCATCTCTGCAGCTTTGAACTTCCTCAGGAGTTTGGTGGGACTCATTGAGAGTCGAAATCAGGTTCCTGGGGCAGTGGAAAAGCTTTTTCTGCTCAGTGCTGCCTAAAGAATAGGTTCCTGAAGGCATTGTTGTAGTTTTTGTTGAAAGCAGTGTAGATGAGTGGATTAAAAAAGGAATTTGAATAGCCTAGCCATAGAAAAATACTCTTCCAAATGGGTGGGATGTCGCATGAGCAGAGGGGGTTGATGAGCTCCGTGATGAAGAAAGGGATCCAGCAGAGCACAAAGACCCCGATGAGGATGCCCACCATGAGGGCAGCTTTCTTTTCCTTCTGCTCTCTCCACGTGTCTCCGTCCGTCTGGAAAGTAACAGTGGCGTGACGGACAGTGAAGACCATCTGTGGCTGCTGGGCAGCTTCTTTTACCTGCCAAACACAAACACAGGTTGCACCATATGTGCCTCAGTCAGCTGATCCCACACAGCAGGTACACAACCACACCATGCAAGTGATGGCCAGAGCTCACGGGCAAACGCAGGCCACCTATGTCACGCTCTAACAGAGGGGAGATTGGTCGTATGACCCTCTTCTGGGTAACAGAGACCGTTTTTAAATGAGGCTAGAAACTGGAGTAGTGATATATGGGCACCTGGAATTGCTCACACAGCATCCCAGTAAGATTATTTCCCCATTTACACTCAGATCAGTAGAACAGACACACACCCACATGCCGTGCACAGAGGTCTCCTTGCTTTCCCTCAACCCATTAAGAGTCTTCAGCAGGAGAGGCAAGAAAATGAGCCTACATTTCCATCCTCCCCCCAAGAAGTCTTCACGGTGCACAGTCACCCTGCCTGCGACGAGCTGACACGATGCAGCCATGATCAGGGAGGATTTATAAGGACGTTCTGCACGCGAGCTGACACGATGCAGCCATGATCAGGGATCATGTGTCTTCTGCGTGGCTAAACTCAGAGCCTCCCCAAAGCCCCAGCTGCTTTCCAGGTTATCGTCCACAGGTGGAGGTGGGATCCCATCCATTCACACCCCCACAGGCCTCCCCACGGGAGGAATGGTGACCCCTTACTCACACTGATTCAGCATTCCATGGGGGGACATCTGTGAGTCACCGCACGCCCACGTGGAGCTCAGGCTCGCAATCTGGCCCAAAGTTGTTTTACCTACACCTTGTGTGCTCACAGCTGGGGACTCAGCAGGAGTCAAAAGACTGGACTTGCAAGCTTTGCAGTCAACTTTCCCTTGAAAGCCTCCAGGATTCACAGGGCTTTGATGGGCTGCTGCTTGCTTGCACGCTTTAGCTCTAAGTTTCCCTCACTTCTGCAAGTGTTTGGTTGCCACCAGCAGTTACTACTAAAGCAGCATGCAACTGAGCTGACCTACCTCCAGGGCTTCTGGTGTGATGGGGGTGATGGAGTTGCTCTTCCGAGATCCAATTCGAAACTTGGCAGCCTTGTAGATCTTCCAGTACACAAAGAGCACGACGCAGAGGGGCAGGTAGAAGGCTCCAAAGGTGGAGAAGATGGTGTAGGAAGGCTCCTGGCTGACTTGGCACTCCTCACTGTCCTCTGAGTAAGTCTCTCCCCAGCCAAAGAGCAGAGGGGCCAAGGAGATGAAGGCGGAGAGTGCCCAGGTGAGGGCAATCATGATGTTGGAGATGCGGCGCCGGATGCGGAGCGTGTACTCCAGGTGGCGGGTGATGGACCAGTAGCGGTCAAGGGCGATGGCCGTGACGTTCCAGATGCTGGCGGTGCAGCAGAGCACGTCAAAGGAGATCCACACCTGGCAGAGTGACCGGCCCAGCCGCCACCGCCGCCCGGACAACTCACGTACCAAGCTGAGGGGCATGACGAGAGCTGCCACCATCACGTCGGAGATGGCCATGGAGGCAACCAGGTTGTGGGGCACCCGGTGAAAAGTGCGCACCCGGAAGATGGTAGCCAGGACCAGCCCGTTCCAGAGGAACGTGGCCACCACCAGCATGGCCAAGAGGGTGAGGACCAGCACGCTGAAGACAGAGAGATGCCCCTGGCCACCATCCGGGCTGGTGGAGGACCTGCTCCGGTTGCCAGCGTCCAGCGTGGTTTCGGCGAAGCAGCTGAGGTTGAGCAGACGCTCCATCCCGGGGGCTCCGCGGCTGCTCGGGCTGCGCGGGGCGGGGGGAGCACCGCCCTACCGCGGGCGCGGAGGGACCCCGGGAGCCCGGAGCGGAGCCGGGCTCGGCGGCTCCTCGCTGCCCGCCGCCGGGGTCTTCATCCCCGGGAGGAAGAGGAGCCCTGC